GGGGGGGGGCGGCGGGCGAGGCGCCGGGAAGCCGCCGGCGCTGGTGGAGGCGGGGGAGCGCCGCGAAGCGCTCTGGGGCTGCTCCCCCGTTCTCCTTTCTTCACCATTTTCAATGGAGGGCTTCAAAAGGGGCCAGGCTTGCAGCTTGTGGCATTGCTGAGGCGTCCGCTTGACACGCTCCGGCAGATCTCCCTTATGCGCCCTGCAGTGAGTATTACAGTCTCTAGACTTACCGCTCAGCCTGGTCTCCAGCCTAGAGCAACTTACCTCAGACTTCAGTTCGGGCTAGTTGTGCTGTCATTTGTCTGCTAAAAACAACCAAAAAGCCCACCTGATTCCAAGCTGATGTCTTGGTCATCACAACAGTGCACTTGGGACATGGAAAGCTTGGCTGTTTCTCTTTTTGCGCTGGTATCCTGACTATAATTTCTCATTGATTCAAGTTTTTAATTTAATAAATATAACCAGAGGGATTTAAGAAAAGGACTAAATCAAGAAAAATGTCTGTTTTCCATCTGCTGCACCAGTAGCAGTACTAAGGTTAAGCAGAATAAAAGTTAAAGGATTTAATACATGTATTTATTACTAATATAATAAATACAATACAAGTAAATACAAGTAAAATATGGCCATACTTCTTAGACAAAACTATAGTATAATGTTATGTCAAGTAAGTATAACTACCCAGTAAAAATCATCTTTCTTCCATCGTACTGATGTCCCGTTCCAGCCTTCCCCGTCTTTCTCAAGCATAACTTTTTATCAACTCCTAACATCCCAAGCCACGTAACATAACCGGTGTCAAATCACCAAGACACTGTAACGCAGTAGGCTGTGACCTTTGTGCCCATAATAATAATTTGACTGAGAGCTATCGATCTATTAGTTAAATGGTAAGCGCTAAGGAATTTTAGCGCTAGGGGAGCATTTTAGTGCAGTGTAGAGATAACTGAGCTTTAAACAAGCTCGTTTGGATATGCAAGGAAGGCTGTGACATTGCAAATTCCAGTTAGGTTAATATGCCCCGCTTCAGAGAAGGTAACCTAAACGTTTTAGATGCTGAACTGTCATTCATCCATTAAGAAGCTACAATGGTAGATCTTCCCATTTATTCCTGGTAATGCGCTTACAGTTGGTTCAAGGTTAATTACTTTTTATGTCCTTTTTTTCTGTTTTACCTAATATGTCCTTATTATTTTTTTCCTTTCCTTTACATGTGTTACTTTGTATCCTTCTCTGACTTCAGGCAAATGGCTTTTTTTTCTCCCCAGTCCTTGCTTTTTTTCTGTCTCTCGGAAATAGTCTTTCCAAAGGATCAGTCTAAGCTCCTGCCATAGACCTGGCAGAATACCTCAGCCTCACAGAGCTGGATCTTGTTTTAAAAGAAAACCATATATTTATCACTGAAGTCTTGAAACTTTCGTAGCAAAAGTATATCTTAATATTGTAGAAATACTGGTTAAAAGTGACCTTAGGAGGTCCTTACTTCACCTCCTACTTACAGCAGGAGTCACCAGCACTACTAGGTCAGGGTCGTGGCTTGGCCCACTGAGCCCTGACAACCCTGGGACTGAGATCTGCCGTCTCTGTAGTGACCTCTGCCAGTGCTGCTCCGTCTCCAGGGGAAAAAGTGTTTCATCAAGTCCAGCCTGAACTGCCCCGAGCTGTGATCTGTGGCATTGCCCCTCCTTATGTCACCTGTCGCTGCCAAGAAGGGTTTGGCCCCATCTATCCCTTCTGTCCCTGCCCATCTGGCAGCGGGGGGCAGCTCGCAGACCACCCCCACTGCAAGCCTCCCTGTGGCCAGACCCAACAAGCCCAGCTCCCTCCCGTTCTCCTCGTGGATCAGGTGCTCCAGGCCCTGACCAGCTTGGCAGCCTCCGTGGCACCTCACCAGGGTCTCCACATCCTCATGTGGGTATATTTGGCATCCGCCCACCTCAGCACCATATAGAATGGGTAATAATGTTCTTAATCTCATTGAAGTTGTATGGCAAAAGCCTGCATTAAGGAAGGATGGCTCAGATCTCCGGCAGAGGCAGGCACGCCTGCCTAGACTGCGTAAGGGTGAGCAGGAGGCAGCAGCCACCTAGGAGGAGGCATATCGGCATTCGCACCTGCAGCGAGGCTGGAAACGCTGAGAGGGTGCTTTTCCCTGACCTATCCGTTGTAAGTTACCTGTCATACTGACACCAGCACAGAGCTTGGTCCCACTTTATATGACATGTGTAATACGAGCTTAGCTGTTCTTTCGTAGCAGTTGTATGCAAAGAGAACCACCCCAATCAAGGGACTGGCCGGGTCTTAATGGATAACTAGAAATACTCTGCACTTCACAGTTTGATAACTGCAATAATATATTTTTGTTTTTTTCTTAAAACGATTGCTGTAGAAGAATAAACAAACTAAGCTCCAGCTGAGAAGCAGCAGCATTTCAGAGGCTAATAAGGCAAGTTTGGAAAATACAATAATTGGCTGATTTGGGATGCTACTGGAATCCATCAGAAAGAAAATCATCTAAATTTAAGAATTAATCAGCAGTTTCCTAAAAGGTGTTGAGATAATGGACTTCAAATGTCAACTTACACTGTAAGAGAAAATAGTAACTTCAAGCAATACATATTAAAACAGAAAATTGCCACAAAAAAGGTTAAAATGGGGTTCTTTGTAACGAATGGAATTACTCAGATGTCTTGGCAACTTGTCTGCTGTTTTGTTCAACCCTTCTGCTCTTGCATCAATGTCATTGAATGTTTAAAGCATTTTAGGCATAGCTTTTCTCTGAGACAGGGCCTTATGACATCATTCTATTCTTACCTGTAATTTATATACTGTTCAGGGGCTTGATAAAAACAAATCAAACACCTCACTTGGGATCCTGTTTTTCAAGAGCAGTTAACTTCTTATACAACATTAATTTTATTATGGGATGGGACAGTATCAAACATCATCCCTTGTATTCACATGCAGGAGATGCTTCCCCTACAGATGAGTCAGTGAGAATTTCTATAGCTATTGGATGCAATAACTTGTGGAACAGATCTGCTGCTTCTATCTATAGTTTCTTCACTGTACGCGTTCCACTAAACGTTACCTCTCAGGTAAAAAACTGATGCAAAATTTCCTTCTTACACCTGATCTAGCTCATGTTGAAATCCAGACAGGCTTTCAAGTGATCCAACTAGGATGTGCTATATTCACTACAATCTATCCATCATCACATCAGTGATGTGGTAGTTTTGTCATTAAATCCATGCACAAAAAATACTTAGGTTCTCAAAAATATGATTTTAGCAAGGCACTCTACTGGCAGTTTTGGTTTGGTTCCATTTATTGGATTAATATAACCTACATTAAAAAAAAAAAGCGTAAAAGTGTTTGGAAACAACTTTAGTTTCTTCAGTAGTATTGCAGGTTTCCCCCTTATTTTTCTATGTGCTTCTATAGCTCTTCCAAATAAAAAATGTCTTCAATCAAAGAATAAGTATGTGTCCGTGTCTAAATACACCTATTGATTTACAGAAGGCCTTCCTTTTTCTATTGCTCCTGCAATCTTTAATGGTAAATACAATTATAATTTTTAGGCATTTTTTTTAAAACTATGTAGAATGTGTCTACAGTTTCCCTTTGATGCTTTTAAAAATGAAGAAGATATAACCAGTGATGCTGGCGGCTTTTGTTATTAATTTGAGGCTTATACTAGTTTTTGTTATCACCCCTCTTGAATAGAAAAAGGATAATCAATCATTTTACTGTCTGCATTTCATGCTCTGGGAAAACGCTATTGTGTTTGAATTACCAATGCTGTAGGAAAATATCTAGGACCCTCCTGTTTTTTCTCCCACTCTTAAAAAAGTAACATGTGCAATTAAGGATAAATGCAAGCACACACACAAATAATAAAAAACTTTAAACCTACATTCTGTTACTGCTATTTGACAGCTGTGGCACTAACCTTCAGAAAAAATCCACTGCTGAAAAATACTTACAAAAATTTTTACGAGAGATGCAATTTTTCAGAAGCCAGACAGGGTCAGTCTAAAGGTAAGGCCGACACTTTTGGTTTTTACTGTGCAGACTGCATAACTTAGATTAGGTCTTAATTTCTCAGTGTTGGAATATGGTTATTTCTTGAACAAATACTTACTAAAAAATGGCAAGAAATGCCAATTTCATCCTGTTTTACTGAATACACAGTCAGCTTCCTAAGCTTTAGAAACTTACTAATTCTAGAACCTGATCCTGCAAGAATCTCCATAAAGAAAGACTGGTCGTCTCACTGGAGCTTTCCATGTTTGCATAGGTCTAACCACAGAGAGGGGCCGCTTTGCCATCACTGCTGACAAACGTGACAGCTCATGCTGTCCACGCATCATGCTGGTCAGAAGCTGCAGTAGCCTGGTGCTGAGCTGTCAGAGGCCGACAGCCAAATGTGCCAACTGTGTACTTGTTTCCAGTGGTAATGCAATTTGGGCCTTAGTTTTCAATTCATATGTTCTAGTGACAGTATCTGTCTGGAAGAGAAAGGTACTGGAAATCATGGGTCTATATGAAAAAGAAAAGGTCTTTGTGGCAGGTGCTGTCCTTGCCCATGAGCTTCTCGTGCTTCTGAGTTCCTATATCACAGATACTGCGGATCTCAGTGTCTGAAATATGAAATTTACACCCAGCAGTAAAAGAAGACAAATCTTTGAAAAAGGAAAGACACGCTCCAAAGCCTGACAAAGGGCTGAATACCCAATTCCCACCCAGACCCCGATACTGCAAACTTGTGTCTAGTCAAGTTTACTTATGTTAGCAGTCCCACTGAATTCAGTGGCTCCATTGCACAGTTGTACAGCTTCCTAGCTGCCTAGGGCTCACTTTGTGGAAGGGCTGCAACTGGTTGTATCACTCAGAAAGCAGCCAGAAATTTGTAGGAAATTGGAAACGTAAGATTCCTGAGGACTCTGTTTATGTAAAGAGAACCCCTAGATGAGAGTGAGAATGAGTAGGAAGCGCATCTTTTATCAAAGCACTCAAGACAGAGCTCTGGGAGAAGTGGGTCGGACTTCTCCAAGCACTTGGCATCCCTTGGCTAGGAAAAAATCAGCTGAGTTGCTGCAGTTAAATGTGATGTAGATAGAGCATGGGCTTCTGCACTCCAGGTGGCAGGGTCAGGGAAATGCAAAGGTGTTGGAGAGACAAGCTACAGGTGATAGGTATGTTCCACCTGAAACCATCCTGAAACCCTGCATCATACATTATGCTTCCAAGTTAAGGACAGATCTAGAAATCGGCAACATGAATTGAAACTCGTTCAGAATACCTTTTTCATTAACTTAGTTTTTGCAGCTGTGGGAGAAGAGAACATTTTGGGGAGGTTATATTTATAGTGAAAAAATGAGATTGCAATTTTCAAAAAATTGTAAAATGTCATATTGAACGTGTGGACAATTCCAGCTCTTGAATACAGGACTTGGAGTTCACCTAAGTGACCTAGTCTAGTTAGAAAACTCTACAGAAAAGTTAAGATGAAGGAGGTATGGTGTACTATCTTACTTTTGACTGCTTGTGCTTTGCTGTGAAACTTGTTATTTTTGGTGAGCTTCATTCGCCAGTCATTGCAGGCTGGTCAGAGTTTTCCAGTAATGTGAATAGGAGCAAGATGGGAAAGGAGTGGTATATTGAAGTCACAAGGGTCCATGGTGATTGGAGGTAGAAACAGCTTTACTGTTTGTGAGACACTGAGACCAACAAAACACAAAGAGAGAGAGTAGGTATGAAAGGAGATAAATATAAAGCAAGGCAAAGTATATGGAAAGAACAAGATGAGTGATGGGAAATTAAAAAATTGGAGGAACTCCTGAATCCACGTAGCCTACGGTGTTCATGTGAGGTCTGCCTGTTGTTGCCAACAGCACATAGAAATACGATGGATTTTGCCAGTCACACCTAGTGTTATCCACAGCCAGATGACAGTGTGCTGATTGCAAGTGGGCAGCTTTGTCCAGGGGTTCATACAGTTTAGACATCCTGCTTTCCCTAATCAGTGCGGAGAGCGCGACTCGAGTTAGGACAAAGAGTAGATTTAAAGGACGATTATACTGGTTCAGATCAAAGGTCCACTTAGTTCAGCACGCTGTCATTACAAGCATGTAATGGTTTTTCCCCCAAAAACTCTTCCAGGCTTCATGAACTCGCAGATCAAAGACTCTGAGCCAGAGGTTGTACTGTATTTTATAGCCAATTCTTCCATGACCCTGTCTAGTCTCCCCTTGAACCCATGTAAACTTTTAGCATCCATGACATTTTGTAGCAGAGTCCCACAGTTTAACTTCAGGTCACGTCACTAACTACTACCTCTCTTGGCTGTTTTGAAACTGTTGCCAGCGAATTTCATCTGGTGTCCCTACATTTTATATGTATGGAAGAAACGTCAAAGAAATCAGTCTTTGTCCAACCTCTTCAGTAACTTGGGATTTTCTAGATCTCTAGCTAACTCTGCCAGGATGAAAAGTTCCAAACTTCACGGTTCCTCACCGAACAGCCGTTCTGTAGCTTTGGTCATCCATGCTTCCCTTCATCGAATCTTCTTCAGATCTGTTCTATACTTTTTAAAACGGAACCTGACCAAGAGAGCGAGAGAGAGTTTAGGATGGACGCATAGCATGAATTTAAACACTGACATAATTATTTTCTCTCCCCTTCCTACTAATTCCTGGCATAGTCATGCAGCTTGGATAATGGGATTTCAGCAGCGGTTGTCATGATAAAGATGGTTACCACATAGCTTGATGAAGACCTATCTCACGACTTGCTGACACAATGGCCATTGATAGGCTATTTTCTGCTCAGATTGCTTTTTGGTCTTGTTCTGACTTGGACTCAGGAAGCTAGCCAAAAGAGTTTCAGCTAAGCCATATCAACTTCCTAGAGACAAGGAAGCGTGGCTGGATGTTAGAGGGACACACTTTACACTTGCAGGACCTTTGGAAATGTTTTAAAAGATGGTCTTCATTTGCTAAGCACAAGTATATTTGCCTATGGGTAACCTCTGAGTCCGGGGTCTAAAAGTAGGCGCTGCCGTGAAATCTTTTCATGGGTTCCCTTCATACGTTTGTAGGTTGCAAAAGAACAGTATGATCTGACTGTACACACTAGTTGATCCCAAAATAAATATGAGCTGCCAGTGTGAATAGGAAAATAGGGCCCTAAGATGTCTTAGGAGCAATGTTTCTAGCAGAGTTTGGAAGGGATTAATACCATTGTCCTTGGATCTGGCAAGATACCATCTAGAACACTGCATGCCATTCTGGTCATGTATATTGAAGAGAAATGAGTAAAACTGAAACTGGAGCAGAAAGCCACTACTGAGATGAGGGAGAACGGACAGTTAGGAGAGCTGAGCTAGCTGAGCCTAGTCAGACGAAGGCTAAGAGGGACAACATTTCTATCTGTAAACGCACAAAGGGTAAATATGATGGAGTAAGAGCTATTTAAGGCCAACGCTGGCACCGGAACAAATGGATATAAACCAGTCACAAATATATTTAGCATGAAAATCAGAAGAACATTCTGGGAACAGCTTCTCAGTGGGAATTATGGTAACAAAAGATCTTAAGAGGAAACTTGATACATTTGTGAAAGGAATTATATTATATAGCATTTGCAAAGGCTGGAGGCTGCAGCGACCCAGGAGATCCTTCCACCCTACATTCCAATTTATTTTGACTCTGTTAAAAGCACAACATAAAACTTCATGCTTCAATTCCTCTACCTGTTCCAACCATCTGCAGCTAGACTTCAGCACCTCTCTTAAAAGTCATTTAAAGACTGAACAAGACAACAGATTTATCATATCCTTTGGAGTATCTGAAACATGAATTCCTGTTTGCTGTTCCTCAGAACGGAAACAGTTTCAGAAAGTATTGTCTTACATATGTATAAAAATTTCTATTTATTATCTTTTTATACAGAGAGAGAGAATGTTTTATCCCATCTTTCCTAGTTGACTATGTTGCTTACCAATAAATTTTCCACAGTATCTAACCACTATGCAAGAGAGGCGTTATGATTTTACTCGTAAGTTTCCTGCTCAAATGTATTTGATAACCCTTCGTTAGGTAATGCAATTACTAAGTGAACCATGTAAAAGTTTCCTGCTGGTGTTCCTGGGAGTGCTGTCTTCACTGTGATACCTTGCCTTTCTCAGGCAAGGTATCTTTTGCGGCCAGCCTCAGAAACATTTAACTGATGTCTATGAACTAAGAACCAGGATCTGTTCTTTAGGGAGATTTCTGTCTGGTTTATATCATCTGTTTTTCAAAGAGAGAAGAGGAAGGAATGCACAGGTTCTCTTCTTCCCATGAGGCCAGTTCTTTCCAAAATGTCTCTTTTCTAGTTACAGCGGAAGTGTTTTCTCTTCCCTTTTCTTTTTATTCCTTGTGGATTTCTGGAGATGTCCATCACTCCTTTATAAAGCTAACAGCTGTTTTCTCCTTCCTTTTAAACAGGCTTTCTTCAAAGGTATATTGTCTTTGATGTGCATGGAATATCCCTCAAGTTACCTACCGTTCACCAAAAGAACGTTGTGAAGACAATGTTTTTGAGAGAAGCAAATTTACTTCTACCAAGTAACCCTGTTTCTTCTAAGGTATTATCTGTCAGGGTCTCCTCTGTTCCCTCAATATTTGTGGCAAATGCCCATCTCCAGCAGTTTCCGTTCCTGACGCTTCATGTAAAGTCATGCATTCTAAGTTGCCTTAAAGTATGTTGTTTTGTATTACCCCAACAGGCTAACATTTCACTTGTCTGCACAAAAGAAAAAGCCATAGTCATATCAACTCCGATGGAAAAACTGATAGTTAACTGAGACTCCAGCCAGCTTTCATACTCATAAGTCCAGCTTGGGATGGGCAGCTTGATAGTCACTGTTCTGCAAATCATTAACATGAGCAATGCTCGCTACCTTAATAAAGCAGTTTTCAGACCGGAGCGTGAAGACACTTATGATGTGATGGTGTTTATCTGTAAAAGTTGCTGTAAAAGGAATGGTCCCATTCCAGTGAAGGCTGGTTTGGAGATTTAGAGACAGCACTTGTCACCTGTCAGGATAATCAATTTTGATCAGCCAGGGCGTGGGGCTGGGGGGCCTTTACAAGTGAGGTTTACCTGATCATCAAGGTGGTGGATAAGCTGCACGTATTACTCGGCTCACTCACCATATTCTGCAGTACTAGAACAAAAGGCCTTGCAATGAAACTAATAGGAGATCAGTTTAAAACGGATAAAAAAGTACTTCTTTATGCAGCAGGGAGCGAGCTTCTGGACCTTGCTGCCACTGGAGCTGGGGGAGGCAGACAGGATCAACAGCATCAAAAAGGGATAAGACAAACTCGCACAGAACACGGCCACCAACGGATGCTAAGGGAAATAAGCAGAGACGTCCCCTCTGGCAGACCGAATTCAACAACCGCACGCACAGAGCACAGAAAGCACCCCAGCTTGCACCCTCTTCCAAAAGGGCGTTCCCGCTATTGGAGAAGTAACACTGCTGTGGCCCAGAAGGGCACTTTCTGTTCCCACCTGCTCGCTCAGATGCCAGAGCCCTGCGTGAAGTACCTACCCCAGGTGGCCAAGACCGCTCGGCCAAAAACCTCTCCCCTGGGACCTCGGTGGCTGCAGGGGGCAGCAGGTGCCCACACACTACTGCCGCGGGTGGAGGA